CACACTCAGTGTTTCCTCTCACTTTAAACTGATGATTTAATGGCTAGTAATGCCTCAAACTGCAGAAGACAAAGGGGCAGGAAAACTGACCTCTGCCACATAACAGCAGGTCCGACCGGGTCTGGGCTCCAGGTCGGGATTTAGCGGGCTCCAGCTCATATTCCCTCCTGAACCTCGGGTGGAAGAGAGGCATGCACAGGAAGTCGAACCTGGATACCAGAGGAGGGAAGCACTTCAGTTAACATTCAAAATATTTATAATATCAACACGAAGTAAAACACAAACCTGTTTTCTAAGTAATCCTCCACACACCTCAAATATACTATGGGAGTAGGCAGAGCCTGTGTACTACACACTTCACTACAGTATCAAGCATCATTGTGATTTGGGCACGTGCTGGTAATTCACCGGCTAGCTTAGCAACCATCACGCACTGAGAACGTGCTAGCAAAGCAGCGCGTTCTGCTCATAAGCTCACTTCAGCTAAACAAAAATTACATGTAGAATCGAAAAACCATCTTACCCAAGTTTGGCGACCGCGGCTAACGTGTCGGCTATCTCTGGCACACAATTCAAATCTCTCCCGCAGGACACCCTGCTCCCTGTGCTGGCAGACGCCATGACTTTAGCCGACTGAATGAATTGATTTCTCGGACTTTCACATTGCTCTGCCTTTAGAAGAAACTGGCGCCATCTTGGCTCCTAAGAATTGCAATGCTTGCTGGCTAACAAACGTGAGACAGAACCAAGATGGCTTAACCAGTGCACAAGTTGCATATCGCGTTGTCATTGTCGCGATAATTGTGTACCGAGCGTTGTTTAAACGTTGCCATTTGATGTTTCACGGCGACTTCTTCCAAGACGAACAGCTTGCTGTACTTTGATAGAGAAAACAAATGAAATAATTATTGAAACCAGATTTGAGAAATAAAAACCCGACAAACCCTTCCTCCACTGTACAAATACAAAAAATTATTTACTACTAGCCGATAATGGGGACAATTTTTTAATTTTTATTTTTAATTATATTTAATTTTATGTTATGTTATTTTATTTTTTTAATATACAGATTAAAACGTATTGTTTTGTGCTGCCTGTCTGTTACTCTTTTAAATGCTCTGACAGCCTCCCGCAGCTCGCTGCACTCTACAGTACATGGACGTCTTGCTTCTGCACACATAACTACTGTATAGTTAAACAAACATTGACCAGAAATGATTTAGATAGAGACTTTTTTAGACCCACTCATTAAGAAGCAATAAAACACCAAAAAAAAACAAAACACTTCCCTACTCATAAAACTGGTTTATTTGGCAATTTGTTCATAAATAACTAAAATTTAAAAATATTTTTTCAGCAGAAAATTCAGTGTTATGTGAAATAACATTACTGCTGAAGATGTTTTATCCTCCGATCATTTTAAAAATGTCATGCTTTATTTAATCATCAGTAATTTGTGATATTCTATAAAATTATGTCTGTAGTTGCTGCTGGCCAAGGTGGTCAGTCGGACAAAAACGTGTCTGTTATGATGATATATCACAGAAGCTCCTCTATTTGCCAATTCTGGTTGTGTTTTCACATGCAAACACAACGAGAAAACGGTGCAGGTCTCTGACACTGACATATGTGTGAAATGGAAACACCTACAGTTTTCATTGGGATCCAGGCAGGCGTGCTTTGTGGAAAGTACAATAGCCAGTTGCAGCCTACCGATGACAGTGTTGTAAAAGATGGATGAAAACAAGCAACAAAGTTTTATGACAGAATGCTGTTTGAGATGAAAGGCATAAGATCACTTTCACTTTGGTACGTTTTGATTGATTTCTATTTATAGATTCAACTAAGCAGCACTGCTTGCTTTGCTTGTCCTTACTGAACTCCACTTGTAGGACTTGCAGAAAGTGGCTTCTGCGGATATCAGGTTCACAGCATGTAGGCTAAAATATCACTTACATAAACCATAAATGGTTTTGAATATGGAACACGGCGTGTGTGTGTGTGTATATGTGTGTGTATTTCTACCAGCTGTCACACCTGCACGAGCTATAAAAGCGCAAGAACTCAGAAGCAGATGAGAAAGAGTAGCAGCATCCCTCTACAAACCAGATCTGTTTCTTTGACACTTAAGATTGTGTTTGATCAGCTTTTCAGTGGATAGACTGTGTTTGAGAACAACTTTTGTTTACTTTTCAACAGAAAAGATGTTCTGATTTTGTGATCAAGTATCTGTGTATACACCATCATGGCTTTGGAAGATGTTTGCAGCTTCAAAGAAAGGCCGGTGCAACATAAATGGTTTTCTTTTTCATCTCTGGGGGACGCAGCAATTCCATTTCCTAAGAGTGACTATTACAATCTAAGACTGGAAACATCTGAAAACAACTGTGGAGTTCCACTGCATTTTTTTATACCACCTCTTCCACATTCCTCCTCTTTCATCAACAGACCGTTGTCATCCTTCTGCCCACCCAAAAATTCAATGACAGTCCAGAGGCCTTTCCGTTTGGCTCATGGAACAACAACCTTGGGTTTCATCTTCCAAGGTGGGGTAATAGCAGCAGCAGACACACGTGCCAGTGCCGGGGGGCTTGTTGCCTGTCCGGCTGTTCATAAGATCACCCCTATTCACTCTCATCTAGTGGTCACATCTTCTGGTAGTGGTGCAGATTGCATGCTGTGGGAGCGAATTCTGATTAGAGAGATCAGACTGTACCAGTTACGGCATGGACATCGCCTTTCAATACGTGCCACAGCTAAGCTCCTTTCATCTATGCTGCATCCTTTTAAAGGTACTGAAATGTGTGTTGCTCTTACACTGTGTGGTTGGGATAAGCAAGAGGGTGCCACTGACTGTGCAACAAGTTTGGAAGACTCACCCTGGATGACTGATGATAGCTCCTTGGCTGTTTTTAGTAACCAAAACATTACTGCAACAACTTCTCCTAACAGCGGTCCAAAGCTTATATATGTGTGCAGTGACGGAGCCCGACTGCAGGGAGATGTCTTCTCTGTGGGCTCGGGCTCACCTTATGCTTATGGAGTCTTGGACAGAGAGCTGAGGTGGAGCCTGAGTAAAGGAGAAGCCATCTCATTGGCAAGAGAAGCAGTGTTCAGGGCCACTCACAGGGATGCCTACTCGGGGAACAATGTGGACCTTTTCCACATCACAGCACAAGGATGGAGCCAGAGAAAGAGAGAGGACTTGAAAGAGGAATATTACAGAGATAAAGAAAAGAAGGGAAAGAAAAAGAATGACAAACTCAAATAATACTCAATAATCAAAAGCATTTATGTGTGGGAGGAAATTATGATGTTATATTTATCATTGAAAAGTAAATTTAATAATAATAATCACACACATTTACACTCTGATGGATGGATCGGAGAGTAACTTGGGGTTAGTATCTTGCCCAAGGATACTTGGCATGCAGACTGGAGGAGCCTGGGAACGAACCACCAACCTTCTGATCAGTGGGTGACCTGCTCTAGTTCCTAAGCTACTAATGGGCAAGCTCAGTGACTTAAGGTGGCTTAAGATTAGCGCTGTTGCCGCACAGCAAGAAGGTCCTGAGTTCGATTCCACCATCTTTCTGGGGTCTTCCGGGGTCTTTCTGTGTGGAGTTTGCATGTTCTCCCTGTGTTTGCGTGGGTTCCCTCCAGGTACTCCGGCTTCCTCCCACTGTCCAAAGACATGCAGTTTGTGGGGATAGGTTAATTGATTAATCCAAATTGCCCATAGGTGTGAATGTGGGAGTGAATGTGAGCGCGAATGGTTGTCTGTCTCTGTGTGTTAGCCCTGCGACAGACTGGCGGCCTGTCCAGGGTGTACCCCGCCTCTTGCCCTATGACAGCTGGGATAGGCTCCAGCGCCCCCCGCGACACTGAAAAGGATAAGCGGAAGTGAATGGATGGATGGACAATAATAATAATAATACTAATAATAATAATAGCTGTGTAATAAAAGGTATTTCCTTTACCTCACACTTTTTTAAGAAATACACCGCCACAGACACAGGGGGCGCTGTTTGATTTCGTTACCGTGACAGAATAAAAAAACTACCGCGGCGGATGTTGCTTGTTCATCATACATTTTCAAAGATGGCTCTTGCTAGTGTGTTGAGCGGTGATTCTGCGGATTTTTCGTTTGATAGTAGCCAGTCCTTTGCTTTTGGTGGTGGACCCGGACCGAGAAGTCTGGGGTTAGAAGGCACGCCCGGGGACAGCCTCAGTTTTTCCGTTAAAAACCCGCTGTGTGTCGGAGACGATGATGGCGTCGAAAGGAAAATAGAGTTTCTGCATGGAACCACCACCTTAGCATTCAAAGTAAGTTAACGGTCCAGTTATTGTACCTATATGGTATAAGAAACCCCAGTAGCAGTTGCATAGCTGTCGAAACTAGACGTTTGATAAATTTTGATTTTACATATCATACGCTAGGGTTTCCGGTACAAATTGTCTTTGATGTTAGCATGCTAGCGTGGCTACAAATCGCTTTCTCATGACAGATGTGCATGGTACATGGGAGAGGTGATGTGCACTTAAGTAAACGTAAACAAGTAATCTCTCTAATATGTTTACTATGTATAGTCTTAAGAGAAATCATGAATTACGTAGGCTTACGTTGACGTTTCTCAGTCAATTTAAAAGCAAAATGTGGGTGTTTTAATAACACAGTCACGTGAATTTATATAATGGAAATCTGACGTGTTCTTCCGTAAAAAGTGCAGCAAGTACGCACTTTCTGATGGTTACAACTTCAAAGAGCGACCTAAACGTGTGTTATTTCCAAAGTGATTTGTGCTGAGTATGTAAATGTATTTCATCCATAAGAGAGCCTAACCGACACAGGATATTTTGGCTGATAGTATACATTTTTAAGGTTTTTAAAAAAAACTGGTGCCTTTTATATACTTGAAATATGTTCAGTTATATACTGAAAAGGCAAAAGACACTGTGTAGCGTGTTGTAAACACCAGAAGCAGCCCCAGGTGTTGGGGAAAGTACACGGAGAGACCATTTCTCACTTATCTCAAGTATCGTTTTATATATTTTGCTCCGAGGAACGTGCACATATCGACAAATATAGTAAAATAAAAATGTAGTTAACCTGTCTAAAAAAATGTAATTGATACTGGCCAACTATGTATTAATTAAAATAATTTTTTTGTTAACACAATTTGCAACAAATTTCTGTTAATATTAATTAAACACACATAAATGCATACATGAATGAAATTTGCAAGTCCATATAGCTTTACATCACATCATGTTAGCGGTTAAAATGTGTGATCTTTCATTATTATGTCATTACTATGTTCAGTGACGTTGCAGTAGGAAGGAGAAAAGCACAAAGGACCTTTTAATAAGATTCCTGTTAATTATATTCAGATGTATACATGTATAATGTGTTGAATGAATTAAAGTCACACTTTCTGTGAGTCTTCTTTTTAACTGTGAGTTCTCCATACCTGCTTTTCTAAATGTTATTGTTAAAAAACACATGAAGTTTTGTTGGAAGAAGATGTTAAAGTGTATTCGATTAGTCGTGACTGTGATGCGCTCAGTAAAAACAAACTTGTGTGCTCACGAAAAGAAGCCAAGAAATCTCTAGAAAGTGGAAATGTTCTTTTTGATGTTGTAGGTCAAAGTAGAAAATCTAAAAGGGGAAAAAAATAAATCTTGATTTCTAGAAAGTTTAAGGCTTGCTGTTGGTTTTTTTTTTGTGCTGTAAAGATTTAAGCAGTGTCTCTGAGGATACATTTATTTGTAATTAACAATCTTTCGTTAAAGCACCAAGATTCCATTGACAGGCTTATAAACTGGCATATACAATTGCCGATGCATAAATACATTCTGCCTCTGTGCCGTAGAAACCCCCAATTGAAAACATTTAAAACAGCATGAAAGAGCCTTGCTGTTGATTTTGTCATCACAATTGAAAGCAGCCATTGTAGTCTTCTCCCTCAGTTTGTCAAACGCTCTAGAGCAGTGTAAATACAGAACCATATCCCTGCTGCTGGCTTTTGTCTCTTCAGGGGATTTGTTGATACAAGTAAAAGATAAAAATAACGCCATCCTTATCCCTTAATCCCTTAATGAAAACATCCCCCACAGACATCTCCCTCTGACTGGCCAAATCTGTTGTCTACTATACTTGCTTCTGTGACTGTCAGTTCGCTGATAGAGGATTTTGGAAGGAAGAGCAAAAGTCTTTCCTCTTATCCAGCAGCTTTCTGCTAGAGCTGAACCATATATTGCACCTTTCTGACAGCTGTAGAGCAGCAGCTCTTTTTTTTTTTTGCCTCATTTAGGCAGAACTGCTGCAAGCGATCTCTTACTTAAATTTAGAGCAAGTGACTTTATTCTGTTAAAAGCAGTGGATGTAGGGGAGAGCATTAAAATGTATTATGCACTGGTAAGTAGTGTAGCTGTTTAAGAGAGAGGGGCACTGATTGCAAAGTTCTGGGCCACTGCTAATGTTTAAAATGACAATTTGGCAGCGAGCCAGTGCCAGTTGATTTGAACTGTTTAACCCAACAGATCGATCACTGACATCGGTAAATGCCATTTTTGTGTCTTTTCTTAATCAATGTACTGATATCAGTCTATATATCTAGTACTTTAAACATGTGGTTTTGGGAGGAACTTGTGGACATGTGGGCTACCCGACCCATTTCTTGACTGCTGTTTCCCCTCTCAGTTCCAGCATGGAGTTATCGTTGCAGTGGACTCTCGAGCCACAGCGGGCTCCTACATCGCATCACAGACGGTCAAGAAGGTGATTGAGATCAACCCCTACCTACTGGGTACTATGGCTGGAGGAGCTGCAGACTGTAGCTTCTGGGAGCGCCTGCTGGCCCGCCAGTGTCGCATCTACGAGCTTCGCAACAAGGAGCGCATCTCAGTGGCAGCCGCCTCCAAGCTGCTTGCTAACATGGTGTACCAGTACAAAGGCATGGGACTTAGTATGGGAACCATGGTCTGTGGCTGGGACAAGAGAGGACCAGGTAACATCAACAGTTATATCTGACACGGACATGTCATTTTGTCTGGCTATAAACTGATCTAGATAGAATTTGTACTACTTTAAACTGTACCAGTATCAAGATATGCAGTGCTTCCTTGAACTGATTGTAGGACAATTTGTATTGTGTCAAATCAAAACAACATTCGCCTTGAGGCACTTTCCTAGTGTAAGGTAAAGACCTTACAGTAATACAGAAAACCTATAATGGTACAGTAATAAACATATTTTAGCTAACATTCACACACATTATGTCTACAATGAATATATCAGAAGCAGCTTGGGATTCAGTGTCTTGCCCACATACGCTTTGGCATGGAGACTGGAGCAGTCAGGGATTGAATTACCAACCTTCCAAGTAGTAGATGACCTGTTCTACTTCCCGAGCTCCATTATCTCCCCTAATGGGGAGATAAAACTGGCAATCTGGAATCAAGTTGACCTCAAGAAAAACTATGCAGTCTGTGAAAATTGTTCTTGAAAATGGTAAATTTGGAGAAAGAGCAGCAGAACGACATCTAGCAAAGTACAGCTGGCCTGGAAACCAAATGTGGACTTAGTGACTGAGTCCAACACTTGTCTGCCTGCTGCTGGTTCTCCTAAGAGTGGCCTTCCAGCTTGGAGTAGATCTCTGAAGCAGAACAAGGAGCACAAGTTGAAGTGTGTATGAATACAGGGAAAGAGGCTTTCTGGAGATGGAGCTGAATGTGTAGCCAAATTAGCCTCCTGTCAAAACAGGAGAGTCCAGGTGGTTAGCAGCTAAACTTTAAAAATATAAAAGAGGGGATTGTGAACTGGTGAATGTATGCTGATTTTGTCTTACTCAAAAAAAAGTCCCCAATATTCTTGTATGGAATATAAATGTTTATAATTTATCTTTGTGGCCGTTTGTGATTCAGCTTTTGAGTAATGCACTTAAATCTACTCAACACACATCAGCTTTTCTCTCTTGACATATGCTAATGGGTTTGTTTTTATGTGAAAGATTATTTTGGCAGCTTAATCATTCATCAGTTTTGTTTCTCAGTGTTGTCAAAGATCCTTACTCCCAGGCAAATTTCAAAGAGGCTTCATTATTCATTTATTCTTCATTATTTTTTTTAAGCATGAGTTTGGACATGAGTGGTTAGCTGTTTATTATTTAAATGAAATATACTACAGCTGGGCTGTGCGGATAATTATCATTTAAGAAAAAAACAAACGTATGCATTACTCCAGGTTAGCCACTAGGTGGCACTGCAGCC